AATTTAATTTTCTTTCATACATTCCCTGCTAGACTGGAAATTTTTGTTCTCAAAATTCTTAAGATTATTTTATAACATGGATTTCATAAAATCTATTCTAATAGTTCCTTTTCTCAATTTCTCGTTGAAAAAATTGTATGAGATCTTCAATTTCTTATTATCCAATAATCTTCAAAAATTTAAATGCAATATCAATCATCTTGTCTTGCTGAATCCTGTTCTTTTAAATATTTCTTCTTTCAAATTTTTATTCTATTTTTACACACTTTTTCAACCTTGGTGTTATAGTTTTCATTTTTTACCTTGCTTTTGGGTGAAATTTGACTGAAAAAAAATAAAAAATTTCTTCTCCTTCCTTAATATCGACCATATAGTCTGTTTTTGAACAATTGATAGTTAGTCCTTTCTTCTTTCTTTATATTTTAATTGGCTTTTATAGAAGTACTTTTATTTCTTTCTGTGTCTACAATATTGTATATAATATAAATATATTTACCCATATATCTCTATAAGGATACACATCTGTGTGTTGAGTATAATAATATATAATGTATATATATATATATAATAACTAGCATATGTGAAATATTTGATCCATAGTCCTGGGTATGATAATAAACTATATCAAAGGCCTTTATATCAAAAGAGTAAATATAATGAACAGAATGATATATTTAAATATTGTTGTTCCCAGGTTCACACTGACACAAGCTGGTAGCATCTATCAGAATCCTAGCTATGGGAAAATAGTATTTTAATTTTTGTTGGTGGTTCACAAAAAAAGTAGAAGAATACATTATGATTACAATACAAGCAATATATTTCTAAAAAAAAATTTTATTGGAATACATTTTTATAGCAAAATGTTTTTTATCAACAGCAATCAGCTAATTACAAAATAAATATTTTTATATATATATATATATATATATATATATATATATATATACTTCCACCTTAATTTCTTTATTTAATAAATTTTCTGTTCATTAAAAGTCTATAAACACACTGGATTATATATTATTTTATTATTCTTTCATTTTTATATATATATATATATATATATTATATAAATAAAAAATTTAAAGATGAAAAGTTTTTTTTATACATCAAAATACAGACATAATTATTGAATAGAATTGCCTTGTCTAGTGGAAGTCGATTTTCTCTGTAACATTGGAAACATGAATTATGATTTTAGCTGTGTCTTTAAAACCAGTAATTTTAAAAATATATCCAAAATTCGCTTGAGGATGAAATGGAACTATGGTCTTTAATTTAATTACAAAATTAAATTTTAAGCTTTTTATTCCAATTTTTTAAAGCATATTTAGAACTGTAAAGCAAAAAAAAAATATTTATTAAAATAATATATATATATATATATATATATATATATATATATATATATCAATTAATAAAATAAATCCTAATATATAAATTCACCAATGTTCACAGCATTAATTCAAAAGAGGGCTTTATATACCGGCTATATATATGTGATAATTATTTATTATAATTTTATTTTATATAGACAAAAACAGTTTATTCACTACAAAGATGCAACTTCGTTTTCCTGCATTTCAATTTGATTTGTTTTTTTCTTTTGAACCAAAAAAAGTTATGAAAAATTCTGCTTGTGTAGGAAAGTATTCACTTTTTTTTTTTTCATTTGTTTGGGAAAAAATATGCATAAAACAAATATGTGATGGAAAAAACAATAGTGATTGTTAATAGCAGTTTGGTGAAGGATGGGTGATTTTCCATGTTAAATAATGGGTATATAAAAATTCCTTTTCGATAACAACATACATTCAAAATATTTAGATACTGCATTTCACAAGTGTCCTTTATTTCATTACTGGTGAGTTAATGATTAATGCATAATTTCAAAAGCAAACTACCGAAAAAAATATATATCATGGATATTTTTTTGTTTTTTTTTGTAAGTGGAGGTGATTTAAATTTAAAATATGAAAAATCCTTCACCCACCAATAATTAAAAACCCTGAATATATAGATGATAATATATATTTTCACACAACTGATAGATAGAATTGATTTTTGACATGTTTTTGATTTAATATTCTAAAATAAATAATATTCTGCTCTAATCAGTATTGAGCTCTCTTTTAAATTAAATGTTATGAACATTGAATAGTTCTGACCATTCTCATCTTTTAAAGCAGATATAAACATATATATATATATATATATATATATATATATATATATAAATATCAATTCATTTTTGAAAATGAAAGTTAAACAATATATAAATTCCAATATATTAAGCATTAATATAAAAGAGGGCTTATCGAAAGTAGAGATATATATAATTATTTATTTATTATAATTTTATCATATAGACAAAACCATTTTACTCACTACAAAGAAATAACATGGTTTCAGTGCATTTTTTAATTTGACTTTTGAATAATAATGATCATTTTGATTCTCACCTGTTTCAAATTTGAAATGCACTAAAACGATTTTGTATCATTTGTAGTGACAAAATGGTTTTGTTATAATAAAATTATAATATATATATTGGATGTATATTTGTATATATTTTTTTATTGAATTCAAAACATGTTTAAAATCATATACAATTGCATTTGTGTTTGATAGCCTTAAAACATTTTTTTGCAAATGATTATAAAACAACTGTTGAGGTAATGATTAATTTAATTTCTGAAGCAAACTACCTCCTCGTTTTTCAAAAAAAAAGAAAAAAAATGACAAAAAAATATAAGCTGTTCCAACTATGGGAAAATACTCTTTTGACTTTTGTTTGGTAGTTCAGTAAGAATGTAGAATGGTAACAATACAAGCAATATATTTCTAAAAAATATGACCAGCAATAATACATTTTTATAGCAAATTGACAATCAAGAGAGCACTAAAAGATAAAAATACATTTTTATAATAAAATTACCAGCAAATACATTTTATCTACAAATTATATATCTAAAAGAAAAAACATACATTTGCCCTGAATGTATAAAAAATTATGTACAAAATATCTATTTGATGAAGTAAAATTGAGGCAGGAATCACCTGTTAGGATCTCAACCTACAGTGAACACTCAAACATATATATATATATATATATATATATATATATATATAGTTTTATGCAAAACTAGGTAATCCGTATGGGTAGACCCAAGGAGGATGATATCCAGAGAGCTCAATGTAAGTTCAGAGCAAATATGTTTGAATAAAAACAGATCACTTTAATGTTCCATGTAATAAGTTATTTCACCACAACCTTTTTTAAAGGGCTCTGGATCATCAGACTTTACTTCAAAAGTTGCAATGAAAAATGAAAATGATCCAACTTACACATTTTTGATGGATAGCACTAAACGTATGTGACATTAATGAAGTGAGGAAGTGAGGTGGGAGAGAAGATATAGTGAGTTAGATGTATATTTTCAATTCCTTATCCTTAACCCCAATTCTGTAGGCTAGACACCCCTATATATATATATATATATATATATATATATATATATATATATATATAAAATAATATAGTAAAAACTTGAATTAATGGTCCTGGAACCAATGAACTCTAGATTTAATGGATAAAATCCACAGAAATGATATCGCCCAGCTGGATCTCAAAATACCCATGCATAGCGAGCAAAATCTGTTAGTTCCAGAATTGGCCACTGTTGTTTTTATGACCCAATCAACAGAGTCTGATAGTTCTGGGAGTAGATGCTGTTGTTTATTTATATTAATCGTCTACACAAAAAGATCATCTCAGAACATTTTATTTATTAATTTTGGTACAGTATAGAGTATTGTTTTTTTTTTACCAAGCATCTAATTGTGTGTGCAATTTATTTTAAGTTACTATAACTTAAAAATAAAATACATACATATATACTATATTTACATTTATTTACAATAATTTTGTACTGAACTAGGTGTTTTTTGGCAAGGAAAAAGGTGCTTCAAATTAACGGACAAATGCCTGTAATAGATGCCCCCCCTCCTATTAGTCTATTAAATTGAAAATTCCATTGTACATATATATATATATATATATATATATATATATATATATATATATATTATATATATATATATATATATATATATATATATATATATATATATATATATATATATAATAAAAAAGGATTAAACATAATATATTTATAAAAGATTCCATTGGAATTTAAATACAATACAATTCATCAGACCTACAAAAAATGTAAAAAATATATATATATATATTGATATATATATATAATATAAATGTGTGTGTATATATATATATATATATGTGTGTGTGTGTGTATAATATATATATATATATATATATATATATATATAATAGATAAATGTGTGTATATATATGTATATATTGTATATATATATATATTTATATATATAAAAATATGTATATATATGTATATATATATATATATATATATATATATATATATATACATATATATATATATGTAAATTTAGAAATAATACAAGTAAAAAAAATTTGTCACAAAATTGATGTTAGAATTCAACATCCTAAAAGAAAAGTTGCAGACCGGATCTGTCAGAAAAGAGTCTGTCCACTCATCAGGGTGTATTAGTAGTATCTATGCGTATAAATATATATATATATATATATTACTTTAAATATTATTTTAATGGATACCTGTATTTATAATAAATGCTACAATGGATAGGCAATTGTGGAGAGACATGATTGCCTATGTCCTGATGGGCCAGGGCATGATGATGATGATGATGAAGAAGAAGAAGAAGAAGAAGAAGATCTGCAGTGAGATATTTTGATAAAAAATATGCTCTCTGGTTGAAATAGACACTTTATTTATATTAAAAATAGGAAAAAGGGAAAAGTGCAAGGATGAAAAGAAAGAAATTCATAAAATGAAAAAGAAAAAAAAGAAGTTTAAAGAAAGAAAAAAGTTGTTTAGGGATTTGACTAGAAAAAAAAAAATTTTGAACAAATATTTCTAGAAAGAAAGAAAGAAGGAAAGAACAAGAAAGAAAGAAAAAAGAAAGAAAAGAAAAAGTTGAGGGATGAAAAATGAAAAGAAAGAAAGAAAACTAGAAAGAAATAAAAAAGTGGAAAGAAAAAAGTCAAATAAAGAAAGCAAAAAAATGAAGGGATGAAAGAAAAAAAAAAAGTAAAAAAAGGCTAGAAAGAAAGAAATAAAGAAAGAAAGAAAGAAAGAAAGAAATAAAGAAAGAAAAAAAAAGGCTAGAAAAAAGAAAGAAAATAGAAAAACAAAACAAATATAGAAAGAAAAAAAAAAAGAAAGAAAGAAAAAAGTAAACAAAGACTAAAAAGAAAGAAAGAAAGAAAGAAAGAAAATAAAAAAGAAAACAATGACTAAGAAGAAAGAAAGAAAGAAAAAGAAAGAAAGAAAAGAAAGAAAGAAAGAAAAAAGAAAGAAGCTAAACAATGACTAGAAAAAGAAAGAAAAAAGAAAGAAAGAAAAACAAAATGAAAGAAAGAAAAAAATTTAGAAAGAAAAAAAGAAAAAATGAAAAAGAAAGAAAAATATGAAAGAAAATAAAAAAGAATAAAAATAAAAAGAAAAGAAAGAAAGAAAGAAGAAAATCCAGAAAAACAAAAATAAAGAAAGAAATTTCAAAATAAAAAAAAAGACTAGAAAGAAAAAAGAAAGAAAGAAAACAAAAGAAAGAAAATAAAGAAAGAAAGAAAAGAAATAAAGAAAAAAAGAAGAAAAAAAAAAAAGAAAGTAAAACAAAGAAATAAGAAACAAAGAACTAAAAAAAAAAAAGAAAAAAGAAAAAAAGAAAACAATGAAGGAAAAAGAATTTAAGAAAAAAGAAAGAAAGATAAAACGAAAAAGAAATTCTAAAAAGAAAAAGAAAGAAAGAAAGAAACAAAAACAAAGAAGAAAGAAAGAAAGAGAAAAAAATTTTACAAAAGAAAGAAAGAAAGACTAGAAAGAATTTGAAAAGAAAGAAAAAAGAAAAGAAAAACAAAGATGAAAGAAAGAAGAAAGAAGAAAAGTCTGGGCATCTTTTTCAAAGAAAAGAAAGACAAAATAAAAGAAAGAAAGAAAGTCAAAGAAAAAAAAAAGACTAGAAAGAAAAAAAGAAAGAAAGATGTAAATAATAACAATAAGTGTAATGCTTAAAATAAAATTTTGAAAATGAAAAAAAGATTAAGCAAAGAAATTATAAAATTTTTAGAAAGAAAAAAGAAAGTGTCTTCGTACAACATACCATGACTTCAATGTAGAAAGATTTCAAATTCTTCAAAGAAATAAAATTTAAATTAAAAATGAATAATAAATCTTAGGCAAAATCTTTAAGATAAAAATATCTACTACTAAATAAATAAAAAAAATAAAATAATAGAAATAAACAGAAAATTAATAAAACAAAGACTAAAGAAAAATAAATTTAACATGTCATATTTGTTGTATAAAAATTGAACTGTAAGGTTAAATTTAACTTAAAACATAACAATTTTTAAAAAGAAAAAAAGAAAAATAAGAAATATGACCCAAAACTAAATTAAGAATGGATAAAAGATAAAAGATACCCAACAAAGAAGTTATTCAAATATGAAAAACACAAACACAAACTTCTTTCACAGGATATATTCATTCAAAAAATATAAAAAAAAAATAATTTTTTAAGTCTAACATGAGAAAATTTGTAAACATAGTGTGGCGAAAACTTGCATCGAAAAAAAATTCTACCGGACATAAATTTTGAAATTGTTTTTTGTCATTAAGAAAAACTGATCCCCACATTGAATTCTAATATAAAATTGAAAAATGGGAAAAATAGTGTTAATGAAAAGGACAAAATTGAAAAAATGTAAAACGATTTTAACTCAAAAAATTGATGATATGTCAGTGTTAATATTTTTGGAACAAATTGGGAGCGATTAAATAATGATCCCATTTGAATTACAAAAATAATTGATGATATGGGAAGACTTTCAATATGAGATTCTACTGGACATAAAGTGGGGGATCTGTTTTCTAATGTCATTAATTAATAAAACAAATAATACAATATAATAATTTGATATGGGGAAGGAAGTGTTAATGAGATTCTACTGGACAATAAAAGTTTGAGCATTAAGTAATAAATCCCCATTTACAATATAAAATTGATGATATGGTTGTATACTACTGGACATAAATATGGGGGATCATTTTCTAATGTCAAGGAATAAACTGATCCCACATTTAATTACAATTTAATAATTGATGATATGGGAAAGAAAATGAGATTCAAAGAAAAATTGGGGATTATTTTCAAATGAATAATAAACTGATCCCATTGAATTACTATCATAATTGATGATATGGGAAAGCTAGTGTTAATATGACTATTGGACATAAATATCTACTTTCTAATGTCATTAAATAATAAAAAATAAAATAATATAAAATTGATGATATGGGACTAAAAATTCTAATAACATAAAGTGGGGGATCTGTTTTAATATTAAAAAACTGATCCCCTAGTTTAAACAATATAATAATTTTGATATACCATATTTGTTAATATGAGATTCTAAGAAATTGAGGGATTGGTTTTCTACTGTTATTAAGTAATAAACTATATTTATTTATATAATAAAAATGATAAAAAGCTAATTTTAATATAGATTCTACTGACATAAAATTGGGGATTGTTTTCTAATGTCATTAGTAATAAAATGATCCCCACATTTTAATTACAATATAATAATTGATGATATGGGAAGCTTCATCCTTAATATGATATTCCACTGGACATAAAACTCTGTTTTTAATGTCATGGATAAACAGATAAAACATACCCACATTTAATTTCACATAATAATTGATGATATAAAGTTATTCACACACAAATTGATATCTTGGTTTTCATTGTTATTACTGATCCCACTTTGAATGACATATATATGTCATTCAAAAATATAAAAAATTCTACTGGAATATTTTTTAAGTCTAATGTCATGAAAAAGGTGATCCCCAATTTTAATTACATATAATAATTGATGATGTAAAACTAGTGTTAATATAAGATTCTACCGGACATAAAGTGGGGGATCTGTTTTCTAATGTCATTAAGTAATAAACTGATCCCCACATTGAATTACAATATAATAATTGATGATATGGGAAAGCTAGTGTTAATGAGATTCTACTGGACACAAATTGAGGGATTGGTTTTCTATTGTTATTAAGTAATAAACTGATCCCCACATTGAATTACTATATAATAATTGATGATATGGGAAAGCTAGTGTTAATGAGATTCTACTGGACACAAATTGAGGGATTGGTTTTCTATTGTTATTAAGTAATAAACTGATCCCCACATTGAATTACTATATAATAATTGATGATATGGGAAAGCTAGTGTTAATATGAGATTCTACTGGACATAAAGTGGGGGATCTGTTTTCTAATGTCATTAAGTAATAAACTGATCCCCACATTTAATTACAATATAATAATTGATGATATGGGAAAGCTAGTGTTAATATGAGATTCTACTGGACATAAAGTGGGGGATCTGTTTTCTAATGTCATTAAGTAATAAACTGATCCCCACATTTAATTACAATATAATAATTGATGATATGGGAAAGCTAGTGTTAATGAGACATAAATTGGGGATCTGTTTTCTAATGTTATTAGACAATTACAAATTAAACTGATATGGGATTGGTTTTCTAAAATAATTGAATTAAAAGTAATAAACTGATCCCCCATTGAATTACATAATAATGATGATATTTGGAAAGCTAGTGTTAATGAGATTCTACTGGACACAAATTGGGGATTGGTTTTTCTATTGTTATTAAGTAATAAACTGATCCCCACATTGAATTAACATAATAATTGATGATATGGGAATTGTTATGATTCTACATGGAAAAATTGAAAGTGTTAATAATAAACTGAGAATTCTATATCTATGGGAAAATTTTAATAAGATTTCTACTGGACATAAAGTGGGGGATCTGTTTTCTAATGTCATTAAGTAATAAACTGATCCCCACATTTAATTACAATATAATAATTGATGATATGGGAAAGCTGGTGTTAATATGAGATTCTACTGGACATAAAGTGGGGATCTGTTTTCCTAATGTCATTAAGAATAAACTGATCCCCACATTTAATTACAATATAATAATTGATGATAATTTTTCTGGTTAATAATGAGATTCTACTGGACACAAATTGGGGATTGTTTTCTAATGTCATAAGTTAAACTGATCCCCACATTTAATTACAATATAATAATTGATGATATGGGAAAGGCTGTGTTAATAAGAGATTCTACATTGAATTGGGGATTGGTTTTCTATTGTTATTATAATTGATGATCCCCATGGGAATATATATAATAATTGATGATATGGGAAAAACTAGTGTTAATTGAGATTCTACTGGATACAAATTGAGGATTGGTTTTCTATTGTTATTAAGTAATAAACTGATCCCCACATTGAACTACTACATAATAATTGATGATATGGGAAAGCTAGTGTTAATGAGATTCTACTGGACACAAATTGAGGGATTGGTTTTCTATTGTTATTAAGTAATAAACTGATCCCCACATTGAATTACTATATAATAATTGATGATATGGGAAAGCTAGTGTTAATATGAGATTCTACTGGACATAAAGTTGGGATCTGTTTTTTCACTGATCCCCACATTGAATTACTATATAATAATTGATGATATTCCTCTAGTGTTAATTGAGATTCTACTGGACATAAGTTTCTTTCTGTTTTGTGTCATTAAGTAATAAACTTCTTTTTTTGAATTACTATATAATAATTGATGACACGTGTCAACTATTTGCACTATTTACATTTATCAGATTGTTGTCCTCATCGTTATTACCATACCCACAGTATTTCAATAATTGTATGCTCTGGCTGTCTTCAGGTGATATTTGTTGCAATTTTGAACTGAACCCTTTATTTTGTTCATGAGGGTAGATTGTTCTAATTCCATGTGCTATGCCTTTGGATATCTATTTCAGAAAAATGGCAACTCAGTAGCTCAACTTTCTTTCTCTCTGTCTTTTTTCTTTCTTTCCCACTTTCTTTCTTTCTTTCTTTCCCACTTTCTTTCTTTCTTTCTTTCTTTCTTCATGTTTTCTTTTTCTTTCTTTCTTTCTTTCTTTTATTCTTTTGTTTTCTAAAATTTTTCCACCTTCTTTCAATCAATTCATTCTTTCTTTCTTTCTTTTTTCTTTCTTTCTTTTTATCTTTCTTTCTTTCAAAACAATTTCAAGAAAGTAAAAATTCTTTAATTCAATTTTCAATTCTTTCTTTTATTTTCCATTCTTTCTTTCTTTCTTTCTTTCTTTCTTTCTTTCTTTCTTTCTTTCTTTCTTTCTTTCTACCTGTCTTTCTTTCTTTAATTATTCTTTACTTGCTATCAACTTTTCACCTTCTTTTCAATCAATTCATTCTTTCTTTCTTTCTTTCTTTCTTTCTTAATTTCTTTCTTTTTATTTCTTTCTTTGTCTTTCTTCTTTAAATTCTCTACTGGCTTTCTCTTTTCCTGTTTTAAGGGACCTTTAATATATAACGAGAAAATCTTTCTTTCTTTTTTTTATTTCTTTTTTATGGTTTTTCAATCTTTTTCATTTTTTTCCATCAATTCCACCTACCAAAGTTCTGATTTGTTTCTCTAGCATTGGGTGGTAGTTAGTCTAGGAGAAGGACTACTTTTGGTCCCAAACCATATTTCCCAAGAAATCATGGAAATTCACAGATAATAAAAAAGGAAGATGGGGAGAGCCATGATGAGTTATATTCTGATGTGACATGCCATTTTAAAATAAAAAGTTTTAAAAAAATTTTTTTGTCTAACATTAAAATTTAATGATTTAAAATTTACGAAAATATCAATTTCATATAAGTTGTCAAATTTCAATGACTTTAATATCAGATTCCAGTGGGTGATCAGTTTTCTGTTGTTATCTAGTAATAAACTCAGTCTTTTTCGAATTACTACATATTCAGATAAGAATTCCATGCTATGGGTTAAGTAATAGGGTAGCACTTCTTGGCTTGGATTTTTTACCACTCTACAGGAATTATAACCATCAAAATGGTAAAGGGAAACTATTCCACTATCATTATCAAGAGATCATGGCATTTCAAATATAATAAAGAAAATATATACAGGGCTATGTAAATCTATAATAAGGCATGATTTAAATGTATATATATGGCATAATATAAAGCTATAATAAGGCAAAATGTAAATCTATAATAAGCCATAAGAGAAGTCTATAATAAGGCATAATGTAAAATAATAATAATAAGGCAAAATAAAAATCTATAAGGCATAATATACAACTATAAGGTATAATAAAATCTTTAATATGGCATAATGTATATCTATAATAAGGCATAATAAGAATCTATAATAAGGCATAATGTAAAACTATAAGGAATAATATAAATCTATAAGGCATAATATAAAACTATAATAAGGAATAATATAAATCTATAATAAGGTATAATATAAATCTATAATACGGCAAAATATAATTCTATAATAATTCATAATGTAAATTTATAAGGCATAATATAAAACTATAAGGCATAATATAAAGCTATAATAAGGCAAAATGTAAATGTATAATAAGCCATAAGATAATTTTATAATAAGTCATAATAAAAATCTATAATAAGTCATAATAAAAATCTATAATAAGGCATAATATAAAACTATAATAAGGCATAATGAAATTCTTTAATATGCTATAATGTAGATTGATAATAAGGTATAATGTAAATCTATAATAAGGCATAATATAGAACTATAATAATGCTCAATATAAACTATAAGGCATAGTATAAAACTATAATAAGGCATGATAAAAAACTATAATAAGGCATAATATAAATCAATAAGGCATAATAAAATTCTATAAGGTATAATATAACTATATATAAAGGTATAATAAAGGCATATAAAACTATAATAAGGCATAATGTAAATCTACAATAAGGCATAATAAACATCTATAATAAGGCATAATGTAAATCTACACTAAGGCATAATATAAATCAATAATAAGGCATAATAAAAATCTATAATATGGCATAATGTAGATTTATAAGGTATATTATAAATATATAAGGCATAATGTAGATCTATAAGGGATATTATAAAATATATAAATAAATCTATAAGGCATAATATAAAACTGTAAGGTGTAATGTAAATCTATAATATGGCAAAATGGGCAAAGTTTAACCTTTGTACTTTAAAAAAAAATCTTTCAAAATTGTTTGGCAATATTTATTGTGTTAAAACGTTTAGAATTTTAATAAAATCCAAATCTATGAAAACAGAGTCATACATTTTCTTTGTTCTTGAGAATTGATAACAATAATATTAAACCTTATTTATTTATAATATTGTTTATTTACAAGAATAATTTCACATTTACAAGAATATAAAAGTATGTGAACCAACTGTAATGAAATATTTATTATTTCCCATTTTATAAAGAAATAAATATGAAAATAAATTTTATTAATCATAAATTTATAAAAATGTCAGTGAACCAAAAAAATTTAAATAAACAGATAATACAAGAGTGTAAATATAAATACAGATTGTCAAATATTGATGGCACGGGTAATGGAGTTTTAATATCAGATTCTAATGTCTTATTTGTGTCTGGGTAGTTGAACAAGATGTGACAAGAAAAACTCAGGTTGTGTGTAGAGAAACACTTGACTAAGTCTTAAGGTCAGTTAGAATTGATAAAACTTAATTTTCCCACACTGATCCCATGAAATACTTTACCATTAGAGAACAGAGAGAATATTGATGCAGGTAGAAGTATTGTTGGGTAAATAGACTGATTCTTTCTCACACCCTCTCACTCAATGTCTTCATATCTATATCTCAACCAATCTATCTATCTATCTATCCCAATATTTTTTGTTCTTTCTTTGTTTCTTCCTTTCTCATCAATTTCTTCCTTTCTTTCTAACAATCTCAAGATTTTCTTTCTTTCTTTCTTTCTTTAGAAAGAAAGAAAGAAATTCTTTCTTTCTTTCTTTCTTTTTTATCATTTTAATTCTTTTCTTTCTTTCTTTTCCAACATTTTTTCTTTCTTTTCTTTCTTTCTTTCTTTCTTTCTTTAATTCTTTTCTTTCTTTTTTTTTCAAGAATGAATTTTTTTCATTTCTTTTTTTATTTCTTTCTTTTCTTTATATTTCTTTCTTTCTTTATATTTCTTTTTTCTTTCTTTCTTTTTTCAACATTTTTTAAATTTTCTAAACCTTTTTTTTTTTTTTTCTTTCTTTGTATGATGGGTCATTTTCTTTCTTTTCTTTTTTTTAACATCAAAATCTTTGAAAAAAGTATTTGATAAATATTTGTGTGTTTTTCTAAAAATTAATGGATTTAATTTTTAATCCAAGATATTTTTATTTCTTTTTTTTTTCTTTGTTTTGAAAATTCATTTCTTTCTTTCTTTCTTTTGATAACATTTTCTTTCTTTCTTTCAATATGTTTTGATAAATATCATTTCAAAAAATTAGAAAATGGATTTATATTTTTATATCCAATATATTTTTCTTTATTTCTTTTAAACATTTTCTCTTTATTTTTTTCATTTTTTTTCTTTCTTTTTTTTTTTTTTTTTCTTTAAAAACATTTTTTTTTCTTTATTCTTTCTTTTTTTTTTCAAACTTTTTCTTTCATTTTCTTTCTTAAATATGTTTCATTTTCTTTAAATGATAAATATAAAATCTGTTTTTAAAATGGTTAATGGATTTAATTTTTAATTTCAGATATTTTCTTTTTTCTTTTCCATCCAAAATTTTTCTTTCTTTCTTTCTATCTTAAACGGATTAACTTCTTTTTCTTTCTTTCTCAACATTTTTTGTTCTTTCTTTTCTTTCTTTCTTTCTTTCTCAACATTTTCTTTTTTTCTTTCTTTCTTTCTCAACATTTTCTTTCTTTCTTTATATTCTTTCTTTCTTTCTTTCACCAACATTTTGTAACAAGTCTTTCAATATTATATTTGATAAATATGTTTGTGTTTTTTTTAAAGAAATAATGGATTTAATTTTTTAAATCAAGATATTTTTTATTCTCAAAAAACTGGGTTTAGTGGATACCTGTTTATGTAGACACTTTGTTTTTTAATTTTTTCAAAAAATTTTTTTGTTTCATCTTTCTTTGCAATTTTGAGGAACCTTAATAAAGTAAATGTTTAATCTGAAAGGATTTAAACATTTGTCTACCTTTGCAAATACTACCCCTATCTGATCTTTAATTCTTTGACCAATGGCTATTTAATTCACAATCAAAATTTTTTTGCATATTTTCTTTAATAAGTTTTTCAAATCCAGTCCAAATGAAATAATTTTTTTTTAACCCATTAACTGCCAAATTTTTTTAATGCGTTTTTGGCTCAGACAGGTGTCTTTTTGTTTTATTTTTTTCCTTATGTTTAATTTTCTTCGTAGTTACCATTGTCATTTTTTATAGAAACTAGAACATCATATATATATATATTTAAAACAACAAAAAAAAATATTGATTAAAATAAAAAAAAATACTTTTTTTAAATAGTCATTATTTTTCTACTCGTGAAATGTAAAATTACGACAGAAAGTGTCTTCTTATGGCTAATAATAAAAACTTTAAAGACTATGTGTTGTAAAATATACCTCTGCAAATGCAATATATGTAAGAAATTCAATGTAAATACAAGGAATAACATGTAGCGAGTTAAATTTTAACAGATCCCCAAATGAGGCTTATGGCAGGTAATGGATTAAATTAAATGCAGCATCTACTCAAATAAGATTATCCATTAAAAATAATATATAAAGTCATATATATGAAAAATATATGTATATAAATATATATAAATATAAATATATATATATATTTATATATATATATATATATATATATATATATATATATATGTTAAATATAATAACTGCTAACCACTTTGTCTTCTTTCCCCCCTCACATTTTTACCATTCGTTAATTTAATATGTTTAATCATCATTTTTAAATTTTTTCAATTTTTTTTTTTGGAAGTAAAGTCTGATGATCCGCAGTCCTTTTTAAAAGGGCTGTGGTGAAATAATTTATTACATGGAACCTTAAAGTGGTCTGTTTTTATTTAAATTATTTGCTCTGGATTTATATTGAACTCTCTGGATTCTATCCTCCTTGGGTCTACCCATACGGATTACCTAGTTTTTCATAAACTATATATATATATATATATATATATATATATATATATATATAACTGTGTGTGTATATTATATGTTATTATTTTATATTATATGCAAAATTACTTATTAAAATATTCAATATCAAGATAGAAATGTAAAAACTCACATCAATCCAACCAAACATAAAGTCATATATGTGTTTTAGTGTTTGTATGTGTTTACACGTGTGTTGGGGGTTACCTGTTTAATAACATAGTTAAAAAAACTCACTGGGTACTAAATATACGATAGATACAGAAACGATGGTAACTGAAGAACGTATCAATTGGCATTTGAATAAAAAGTAAACAACGCAGTATTGCTGTAAAGGTTATGTGAATAACAAATTCTTGGCAAACATGTTGAAAGAAGGTTAATTCTTCCTTATGTTCATTTGATGGCCTTCTTGCGTAATTAAAAGATGAGGTGGAATTCCTCCTCCATGAAGGTTGGTGTGAAGCAAAGTATGAAAAAAGAGAATGGTACAAGGGTTGGTGCTGGGCAAAAATTTGCTTACATTCTTGAAAATTAATTATTTTAAGACTATTTTTCTTCCATTAATATAAAGGGGAGACCTAAAAAGAAAAAAAAAATAAGAATATATATATATATATATATATATATATTCCATATATAATCATATACTTATGTAATTGTTTCATCAATATTGATAATATATATATATATATACAAAAAAAAAAAATAAATATCTTATATAAATATTCCATTAAAATTTTATAAGAGCATAGGATTAAAAAACATATATATTTTCTTTTATTTTTTTCTTTTGAAAAATATATATATATATATATATTTTTTTAAAATGGGTAATTGTTCATATATTTATATATTATATACAAATTTTGGTCCTAATTTTTTTTTTATATATATTATTTTTTTTCCAGATATATATATATATATATATTTGATTAATTTGTTTATAAAATCTTTCTCAGCCTTATATATATATATATTCATATTAATAAAAACAAATATTTTATATTGGTTTATTATATATTTGAGTTCTGTAAATTTTCAAGATATATATTATATATATATGCCTTTAAAATTTTATTTTTCAATTTTTTATTTTAATAAGTATTATATATATTGATAACAAAACAGTCAATTCATATATTTCATATAAATTATATATATATATTTTTGTATTTATATATATAATTTATTCGTATCATTCAGTGGATAGAATTTTTTTAGATTCCAATTTAAACAGTATATGTCAAGACAGAATTAACAATATTATAAAAATTTTAAACAACATCAGTGATACATTCTTATAAATTTCAATCCAATTCATCAGACTTGCAAATTCAAAAATTGTAAGAGATGAATTGGACTTTTATTGTTTTTTTAATGTAATAAATTATAACCATTTTCTATTAAATTGAAACCTTTATATTAATATATATATAATAGTAAATACTTTTTTGATTGTCAGACAAACTGATTAATTTTTAAATTTTTTTATTTATTTTATTTGGTATATCAGTGTTTTTAGGGCAGTGGGATGAAAAAATTTGTCATCAGAACGCCCCTCATATGTATGGAGACATACATACACGCATTTTCACGCATCGTGGCTCACACAAACATAAACATATATGAACAGTATGGGAGTGGGTGTATATGTGCAACCATGTGTCGTTGCATGCATATAGACACATCAATTCAATTAAATATGTTAGATCTATCACTGATATTGACTGCTTTCCAATAAGTACCATTCATATATAATATAAAAATTGCATATATATAAAAATTGCATATATATATATATATATATATATATACACTCTTCTTTACAATTAGAATTAGGATACCTTTAGTTAATGAACATTTTCACCTATGAATTTTAATTTTAAAATTCATAGGATTTTTCAATCTGTTTACAATATCAGTTTGTACACAGTATAAACTGATACTGTAAACAGTTTAAAAAGAAAACATTTGAAATAATAGAATATTCTATAAATATACTTATATTCTATAGAAAATATTCTATAATATAAACTATTATCCCCAAAAAGGTCTTACAGTCTAAAAATATTTTCTGACTTTAAATAACCTTCAAAAGGTTGATAAGCCATAAAAAAAATCAATCAATATATATAGAATATCCTAAAGAATTAATGTATTTATTTTTAATCTGACATATTTTGTTTATAATTCAGATACAAAACTAGCAATATGGGCTTTTTTCGAAAATCTGAATGTGGAAGTGTCCATTCCCTAAAAGGGTAAATAGAACCTTGCTGAACTGTGGCTGAACAGTCTGAATCACACTCAGATCAAATGGTGGTTTCTCTTGCAAAAAGGACACAGGTTCAAAGTCCTACCAGAAAGGACATTTTTTTTTTATTAAGTTTTTCTTGAGAAATGCATTGCCAATAGACAGTGTACACACTATTTAAAATAAAAAAAAATGAGGTGCCTATTTGAAATATGAATATCTACTATAATGTTTGAAGTAATAGAAATATTGGATTAAAAATAAATCCATTAATCCTTTAGAAATTGCTGTTTACATCTTGGATACAAAACTGATCAGATATGGGCTGTCGAGAAAAATAATCTGAATGAGAAAGTGTGCATTCCTTAAAAGGGTAAATAGTACCTTGCATTGTTGCTGGCTCTCCTTGGCTGAATGGTCTACAGCACACCTGATTAAATGGTGGTTTCTTCTATAAAAGGACATACAGGTTTTAACACTACCAGAAAGGACATTTTTTTTATGTAACATGTGGCTGAGTGGTTTAAACATTCAATTTCTGACCATAAGACCCAGTTCGAAACTCACCATGATCAATTTGTTAAGAAGGTGGCTTCTTAATGTTATCTTGGAGGGGTGGGAGGGTAGATCCACATGTGCAACACCTTTGACAAGTGCCTGAAAGCCATACCTGGTTGACCCAAGCCTTCTTAATGAAAAAATGGGGCAATGAAACTATTTAAACTGTCAATGGTTGTGTTAAGCATGAAAGTTAAGTCATCGTGACAGAGGGTTTGAAACTTAAAATGGTATTTACTGTTGATCATTTGGATAATGTGTCTCTTCCAGAAACTTTACCTCCTTTGGCATTTTGTTTTAAAACCGTACTGGATCATACAGTGGTTTCCATTATAAGGAGGAATTCTCTTTTTCATGTACATGTGTAATCATATCAACAACGTTAATCATTACTTTAATGATATCCTAAAGCAGGGGTCGGAAACCTATGACATGTGTGCCATGCATGGCACACCAAGCAATTTCCAATGGCACGCAACCACAAATGACATCACAAAGTCTGAACCAATAACTACTACAACGCAAAGAAGATATTTGTCTGTTTCAATTTTAATATATACTAAAGTATATATACTATTTATTACTATATTGAATATTTGTGTAGAACAGATATATTGAATTTGACTTGTAGGCTTACATATGCTGTTGGAACACTGAATGATTTTTAAAACCTAAGTTGACACATAGCAAAAGAATTTAACCCCTTGTCTATTTCTTTATATATTAGGTTAAAAAATTAATACATTGGCTTTGAGGGTTTTTTAGTGTACTTGTAACTTTGTGTTAGCCCGAGTACGATAGAAGCTACAACGCAAGGAAGATATTTAGTTGTTTCAAAACTGCTCACTCATTGGTCTCTCCTTAATAATAAAAACATAAAAAAAAACCCTTCAAAAACAGTGATTTTCTATTAATGTGGTTTACATATTCTTGTATATATTACTATATAAA